CCCCCCCCCCCCCCCACCACCACGCCAGCCCCCCCAGTCCCGCGGGGAACGCGCCACTCACCCGCGGCGAGGGGTGCCCAGGGGAGCAGCCGGGGCCCAGCGCCCCCGTGTTGTTTTCCCGGTTGCTAGGAAACGCAGAACATGCCTGAGGCGCACGCTCCCTTCAGGCTACCAAGGGAGGAGGCAGCGCAGAGGCGTATGGCGCAGGCGCGCGCGCCCTGGTCCGGGGGTTCGAATCTCGCGCTACGCGCTCTGTGCTGCCCGCAGAGGCCTGTGGCGCTGTGCGCTGCATCCGATGCGTTGGGGGCGCTCGCACCCATGTACAGCCTCTGTGAGCCTCCTGCTCCGGGGACCGAGACCGCTTTGTGACGTGCCGGGGCGGCGGGGTCAAACAGCTGGAGGCAGGGAACTAAGGAGCGGGGCCGAGGCGCAAACCAGCGTTGAAAAGGGGACAGAGGGGAGAGCCCCGGCCAGGGCGATAGGGCAGAGGGGGTGAAAGTTACCCAGATGGGCTGCACCTCTCCGGGAAGCTCGCCCACCCCCAATGCCCACAGCGACTGCTGGTGCTGCCGTGGTCCTCCCGCTGTATCATTTCTTAGCAGCTATGATCGGGTACCATATTTGAACTTCAAAAAAAGAGACATTCCCGCTGAGGTGTGTCATCTGGATCGGTACCTACCAACTCAAGTTGTATGAATGTGTTCTATACTGTTGTGTAGATACTGTATAACACATTGGCCTGAGTTGGTAGATACTGATTCACTCCCTCTCAGGAGTGTCCTCTTTTTTTGAAAGTTCAAGTAGGGTAGCCCTATTATGATAACAAAAAAGACTGGGTAAATAGGCAAAGGGAGGGTTCTATCCACTTACTGTGTCTGAAACAGTTCAATCCATCATAAAGGTACCTCACGTTTGATTTCTTTTGAGTTTTGTTCCCAAAACTTAAAGCTATATCAACCTGAAGTGAATCCTAATTTTTCTGTGCCAACACAAACTAATTTATTTCCCAAATGGAAAATGTTGAGTAAGCATGGAAAGTGTATGATTGGAGAAGGGAATGAGAAAAAAGGCAATTCCTGTTGACAGCTACACCTTTGTAACCTTATTGACTTTAGTCTAGAGTTTAGAGAACAGATTTTTGCACAAAAATAGGTTTTTAATCCCTTATGCTTTTTCACACGGGAGTAAACAATCTCATTTACTTTCCTCCCCTAAGCTTTGAGCACTTTAAGGGTAAAAAATAAGTAAGATCTGCAGTCTGCTTGATCCTTCATTCTACACCACCTAATAAACAAACACCACACCTGATAGGGGATCTTGTGGCACCTTAGGGCACATCTACATAGCAGGGCACGTCAACTGCCCCTCCCCCTACTACTGCACATCTCCTGCCCTTTGCCTTAGAACTGCCTCTTCCACACCCCCAGGAGCCTACTGCTTGCTGTGCAGGGCAGGAGAGCGAGAAGAGGGGCACTGATATAAAGTGCCCCCTTTCCCCGCCTGTATCCTAGCTCCACAGAGCAGAGAGGGGAAACAACAGGGCTTGGGATGGAGGGAGTTGGCTGGCAGCTTTTGGGAGTGGTGCAGGGCCAGGGCCAGGACAAGCCTGCCTTAGCCCCACTGTATCACCAGCCAGGAGCAGCCTGAAGTAAGCAGTGCCCATTTGGAGCCCACATCCTGAAACCCTACCCCAGCTGTGAACCCCCCTCCTACATCCCAAGTCCCTGCCCTAGCCCCAAGTACCCCTGCATCCAAACACCCTCCCAGAGCCTGCACCTAGAAGCCCCTCCGGTACACCAACTGCCTGCCCCAAACTCAGCTCAGAGCCCCTCTTGCACTCCAAATCACTTAATCCAAGACCAAAGCCTGCACCCTAACCCTCTGCCCCAACCTAGTGAAAGTGGAGGAGGATGGGAGAGGGAGGATGGAATAAGAAAGCGTGAGGCCTTGGAAAAGGGGCACAAAGGAGGTGGGGCAAGGGTATTTGGGTTTGAGGTAGATCTTGGATTGCACTTAAATTCAAAAAGTGACCTTGTGCTTAAAAACATTGGAGACCACTGTTTTAGTTAGTATCTTTAGATAGTGGAGAGTAATCCTCTCCCTACCTTGGGGGCTGGGGCATGCCTCTGTCCCAGGGTTTTAAACCATGTGCTTCTTGTCAGAAACCTATGCCCATAGGGAATTTTCCATAAGTGCTTGAGTGAAGGACATCAAAGACAAGTGCATGATTTGCAGGAGTTTAGTCTCAGAACAAAAAAAAGAAAGGGACTTCTGATTAAAACTCCTTCCGATGGAGTCAGCCCTGCATTGTCAGCTTGCAAAGCCGGGATTGGCAACGAAACCGGCTTCTTTGTTTTGCAATGCGCCTTCTTTGGTGCTAGATGTCACAGCACCCGAAGAATCTTCTAAGACCCCTCAGCACAAGCAGGCCCTGCAGGGACATCTTTGCAGTACTGTTCACACCGTATGATACCGCATAAGAAAAGTAGGGATGTTAAATTTCGATTAATAAGCTCATTGAGTTGATGGAATTTCCATCAACTACTTGATTAGTCAATAAGGGGGGCGCACACTATCCCACTGTGCCTCTGCCTTTGAAATGTACAAGAGCTGCCTGCGAGGAGCAGCGGGGAACCCGCATGAGTGGGGACTGAAGCACTCACATGGAGTCCCACATGCTGCACCTCTCTGAATGAAATGTACAAGAGCCATAGAGGATAGGGATGTGAAGGACTAGTCAACTGTCCAATAAGCAAGTGCTCATTGGGTAGTCGACAGGCTAGTCGACTAGTTGCTCCGGCCCCCCACCCCCTTTGCTGCTTCTTTCAGATAGAGGCAGCAAGGGAGGAGGGGTAGAAAGAAGAGGTGGCAGTGCTGCGTGGAGCCTGGGATCAGCTGGGGTCTCCCAGGCTTCATGCGGTGCTGCCTCTTTGAAACACCGTGTGGAGCCTGACATTGGCCTCCATGTGGTGCTTTCATCTTTGAAGTGCGGCAACAGCCCTAGGGCTGTTGCTACACTTCAAAGGCGGAGGTACCCTATCAACTAATCGAATAGCCAATGCAAAATGCATTGGCTATTTGATTAGTCAATTACTCACAATTCAATATCACTAGTGGGAGATCTTGTACATTTCAGAGGGAGATGCACAGCAGCGCTTGTACATTTCAAAGGGAGAGGCATAGTAGGGAACATGCGCCATTTCCTCCGCCCGCACCTCTGTCTCCCCTACGCCGGTGTCTCTGATAGGTTTGGTGCCTCCTAGGCTTATTGGGTAGTCGACTAGTTGCTTACATCTCTAAGAAGTGGCTGGAGTGAGGAAGGACACCTGCCAAGTCCAATAAGGCCAAAGGAGTGTGTCCCATGCTGGGACACTCTGGTGCCTATGGACCAACCGGAGCCGTTAACTCCAACACCACCAGAGGAGTGGTCAAGTCTGGGGTCTCTGGACTCCCCTACAGGGAGTAGCCAGAGTGGGGATTTGGGCATGCCATCCTCCCTGAGACTTTCAAAGCAGCATGGGACCTCTCAGAAATGAAGGCCCAGCGCTACCTGTCTCAGAGTGACCACCAGACCTGCTTCAACCAGCATCACGGTGTGGTCATGGGGCAAGTCTGCCATGGTTAGGCAACAGTCCACATCGCCTTGGCACCATTCTCCTCAGGACTGCAGCTATCTCAGCCTTTCAGCTCAGCTCAGCAAGTTGACCTCTATTTAAGGATTGGGGGAGAGGGGAGCAGTAGAGAAAGCCCCGAGTCTCACTGCACAATCCAGCTTCCAGGGAAGAAGTGCTGCCCCTCCCCCTCTATACATTTTGAAATAATTCCTTTTGATGAGCTAGACTTGGACAAAACTACAATATAATTTTGATACATTATAAGAATTACCACAAATGATCTGAGTCAAGCATCCTGCCCAATTTGTTTAAATTCAGACATCAATTAAACAAATCTAGTATGACTTAAGAATCATAGAATCATAGGACTGGAAGGGACCTCGAGAGGTCATCGAGTCCAGCCCCCCGCCCTCAAGGCAGGACCGAGCTCCGTCTACACCATCCCTGACAGATGTCTATCTAACCTGTTCTTAAATATCTCCAGAGAGGGAGATTCCACCACCTCCCTTGGCAATTTGTTCCAATATTTGACCACCCTGACAGTTAGGAATTTTTTCCTAATGTCCAATCTAAACCTCCCCTGCTGCACTTTAAGCCCATTACTCCTTGTCCTGTCCTCAGAAGCCAAGAGGAACAAATTTTCGCCTTCCTCCTTGTGACACCCTTTTAGATATTTGAAAACCGCTATCATGTCCCCCCTTAATCTTCTTTTTTCCAAACTAAACAAGCCCAGTTCATGAAGCCTGGCTTCATAGGTCATGTTCTCTAGACCTTTAATCATTCTTGTCGCTCTTCTCTGTACCCTTTCCAATTTCTCCACATCTTTCTTGAAATGTGGTGCCCAGAACTGGACACAGTACTCCAGCTGAGGCCTAACTAGTGCAGAGTAGAGCGGCGGAATGACTTCATGAGTTTTGCCTACAACACACCTTACAAAGAAAAACCTTTGAAATGATTATTGTGGAACAGCATATTTGATCAGGGCCGATCTTAGGGAAAATGGCACCCTGGGCAAATGTATATATTGGCGCCCCTGCATGCCCTACCCCGGGCATGCCCCCCCCACCATTACCCTTGGCTGCCATGGGCTCCCCCACCCCTGGACCTCCACCCTGTGCTCCCTTTGCCACTAATTCCTGCCCTCCTAACTCCCACACTGTGCCCCAAACCCCAACATTGTCATCTTTACCCCAACCTCTAAACAATACCATCTTCATCTCAACCCCTGCACTTCCTTCCCACCTGCACCCCCAGCTCCAGTCTTGTATTTCCAGTGTGCCTACCACATTGTCTCCCTGCCCAGTATCACCCAACACCTTATGCCAGTGGTTCTCAAATTTTTTGGCCCATGGCCCACCTGGCTCAGTGCAAATCTTTCCGTGGACCACCAGTTGCTAGTGGAAAGCCATAGTTAATTACATAATTACACCTGAATCATTTTGCTAGTGCTGCAGCTAGGGAGAATAGTTTAATTTAACAAGTAAGAAAGGAAATATTGATTTAAATTATTAAACAGACTAAGCGCTTTAACTCATGTTAGGTTTTCAAACTTCATTTTAAATAAAGTAAAATATTAATTTATGTCCAACACAAAAGATTTCAATGTTTTCTTTATTTATGGCAGAGGGAGGGAACTCTTTTGGGTCTGGAGGCCACTGACCCACAGAAAAAT